AACTCACGAACTCGATGCGCTTTGATACTTTTATCGATAGAGGAAGGCACGGGGAAGGGCACCTTTTGTGATATTCTGACGTACTTGTTCGGGATTCACAACATTGATCAGTCGGGTGGCTCTGTAAAGAGTTTAGTATCTGAGAGATCCTCCCATTAAGTCGGAAAGAAGTTCGCAATGGTTCAAGAAATGCGTGAGGACAAAGGTGATTGCATGGGATGCATGGAAGCTTTGAAGACATTCATAACGGATGATTATATCGCAGTTCAACCATTGTACACAAACAAAATGACTGTTCGCAATTTGGTCGAGTTAATCATGACGACGAACAATGAGAATATTCTGAAAACATCGGTCGAAGGCCGACGATTCACCGTAGGGAAGGTATCTTCTGCACGCAAGCAAGACAATTCGTACTTCCGTAATCTAAAAGAGCACTGCCGGACTCAATCATTAGACACCTTTTGCTCACGTATTTTACGATATCTTGCGTGGAAGTGTGGGTTGTGGTTACAGGTCTCGTAAATGGTAAACTGTAAAAGTCTTGTAGCACCTTTTGCCACCGTATATTCGTTTTCATACGGAAAATGACTAGTGAGAGTTTTCATTTGGAAAGATCGAAAAGAAACATGGCAGGCGATGAGCTGCTGCACGCGGTAGAATCGCTTGGTGAGACGCCATTTCGCCAGGTTGATCCACAGAAAAGATCGCGCTTTAACCAGCGCGACTGCGAGAAGCTCATGCTGATCGTGGCATGTCGAAAGACGTATTCTGCGCCGCACGGGACTGGAGAGACGGAGTGGCAGGGTGTTGCAGACGAGCTCAACACCGCCGTTGGGGCATCGTTTTCGAGCAGATCTTGCCGTGATAAGGTAGCTGCGCTACTTAGGGAGCATGTTAAAGCTTCCGCTGTTAGCCGACGTGCTAGTGGTGTAGCTGAAACACACACTACGTTGAGCGACTATACTGAGGCTTACCTCCAGCTCAAGACCAGCTTTGAGGAGAAACGAAATGCTGAAAAGGACAAGAAGACACGCAGGGCAAAGCGCCTTGCATCTGCTGGTGGGAAAGCGATGCGTAAGGCTGCTCAAAGGTACTTTGGCGTCATAAGCTTCATTTCTATTAAGTCCAAAGTATAACCTCTCTACTACTTTTTGCCCGTTATAATCTAGATTTAAACGACGCAGGACTGGACAAGGACCGCGAGAGGCACTATCGGTGGCAGGTTCGAGTGATGGCAGCGACCACGGCGAACAAGATGAGGGTGCCAACTCCGATGCTGAAGTACGTTCCTTCCTTGGTAGCGCTTACAGTAGTGAAGATGAGGAAAAACAGGAGGAGGGTTGCTCAAGCGAAAGTGATGAAAGCGAAGACCAGGAAGACACAAGTAGTCGTAACAGAAGTCGCCTGCGTGTAAGTGAAACTTGGGCAAGGGAAGCAGCGATGATGGAGAAGGAGAGAGAGCTTCAAGCATCGCGTGACCGGAACATCGAGAGGGTTCTCGAAGCACTACCAAGATGCTGTTTGATGAGCTAAAAACCAGCCGCATCAACGACATCAACAACCAGCATTAGCTGCAAGCATCGAGTAACTCTATTGCAGCTCCTACCAAGTTTTGATTACAACTCAAAGTGCTATAACTTCACATCAAGGAAAATATAAAAGCTTTCTTTTAAACGTAAACGTCACTGCTTGAGCTCTACGTCAACTCATGCCAGGCATTCAAAGTACTTGTCAAAGCTTGGAGGTACGACGTCGAAATAGCTGCTGATGACATTTTGGCGGTTTGCAATAGTGATGCAGTTGGTGAATATTGTTGACACCTCAAACAGCATTCCAACCGGTACGCTACCGATGGTCAGTTTGGGTTTGAAGTCGACCATCGCCCAGTCGTTGATAATAGAGCCAAATCCCCACTCCACGCTGATTCTAACCCTGCTCATGGAGGCATTTACTGCAGCCTCTTCTTTAGTAGCACCGATCCTGTCGAACGGAGAAGCAAACACCTCTGTCATGCCGTACGCTGGGTCACCGTAAAGTAGATAACCCTTAAATCGAGAGTCTGCACGAATGGATTCCTCGAGTTCCGAGGCGTCAAGCAACGTCAAGTCGTGCAGGCGCCCCTCAACGGGGCCGAACAAAAGTGAGATGATTCCATCAGGTGTAGTGACAGCTTGATACTTGATACCGTGACAGCGCTTGTGACCGCTAAATAAAGCTCTCTGCTCAAGACCGTCACTCGGGCGGCAAGTACGTCGGAGGGTACCGTCAATAAAACCCCATACATTAAAGAGAGCCGCCCCGTTAGCACGAATGGCGGCAGTAAAGTCTTCCAGTCGAGCGCTAATTCGACCCCAGTCACCACTAAGAAGCGGTGCACAACGCGTAGAAATGTGCTCGCAGATATAGTAGAAAATAGAGCTTAAGTTGCTATCAGAGCGACCGTACTTCACCACAAGATCTCGCCACCGAGATGGATAGCTAAGTCTCTCGAGCGTTATACACAACGCTTCAATTCCGGACACCCGATAACGTTCCTTCGTCGAGAAAAAAGGTGGTAACTTCAGCTTCATCAGCATGTAGCACAGCTGGGGTTTGCGGAATCGAAAGTGGTCGACACAGTCCTTCTCCGATAGTCTGTTGATGTTAAAGCGAACGCTAGGTATGCGAATGCGAAGCGACTCCTTCTCTGCTTGTCGTATTTGTATGGCTAACGTGCAGGCAACCACTCTGTCCAACAACCGCAATCGACGATATCGATGACGGCGTCGAAATAACACCCACACGTCAATGCTGTTAGCTGGTATCTGACGAAGGATCTTGTTAGCAGATTCCAGAAGTTGTGCCTCGTATTCCCATGGCATTTCCTCGTCAGAGGACTCATTGTCAACCGCAATATCGTCTCCGTCTTCTCGTTCCAGGACGTTCACACCCAAGAGGAGCTCCACAAAGCCACCAGCCATAGGGCGATTGATATCCTCATTACCGCCAGCATTCCGTAAATTGGCGGCCACCACACATCCCTCATCCTCTTCTCTGTTAGTAGGTGGCTCCATAGTTACTAAAAGCAGCAAAAAACTTCCTGTGAGATATATCCAGCCTGTCACGCGCACAATAGTTGCTAAGATCTTCACTCCGCTAATACACGTGAAACAAAAGCACTGCTTTTAATACAACGTTAGCATCTTGCACAACGTTGTTGAGTATTTAAGTAGTCGTACATTCGTGCTCCTGGGTATACGAAGAAGAATTGCGAGCCGTAAGATCTCCTTCAACTCCTGCTTGCTGCTTGACGCTGTCTTCCTCAACCTGATAATAACTGTGATATTGACTGGAATTTGAGCTATGATACGATGGAGGTTTAACTGCTTAGACAGTTTCGTATCACTACGCTAACTTCGAGGAAATAGCGTATCTACGAAACACTTTGACGGGATGGATGTCCATGCTTTGCATTCCCTAGCCGCAATGAACTGTCTATGATCTCAAAATAGGGTAAAATACGTGAGCAAAAGGTGTCTATTCATTGATAACTTTGCTACATATCTCATGAATGTGGATGTCCGAGAGGGTTCGATTAAAGCCTTGGCTACTGAAGCTTTAGCCGACCTCTCAAGATTCAATCAAAGCGTATTGGTCGGACATCGCGAACTCTACACGCAAAGAGATCAAGAGTGATCCTTATTTTGTCGTATCAGAGGATTGTATTATGATTGCTAGAAAGTGCGCTTACGAATCCTACAAAGAATGGTGCGCAAAGAATAACGAGATAGCATTCAAGAATCGAGAGTTTCAATCCG